TAAAAAATTCAAAACATACAAAATATAAGTCTCAATTTAAGGAAAAAAAGGAAGAAGAAGAAAAAGAAGAAGAATGTTATTCTTTTAGAGCAGTTTTAAGTTCACAGGTACAGAGTTCCTCCCATATATCTCTGCTCCCCCATACGCATGGCCTCCCCCATTATCAGTATTGATTTTCAAATTATATTTGACAGACATAATATTACTGTCAAATTATTTACAAGTTTCTAAGCACTCATTTCAATTTCTGCATTTATCTCCTTGCACTGGTACCAATCCAGGACCACATTTCTGAGTAACACTGCCTTTCATCTCAACCCAAATATCCACCTCTACCCTGTCACCAGAGTCAAAAACAATCCTCTCCACAAAAGAACCAGGAAGACACAAATGGCATATGCTATGGTTAGTGAAAAACCACTTGGGGTACATACACATCTGCCATCTATATATTTCTAATTCATGGAAGCTGATCCTTTTTCATAAGCTATTCACCAATCTAATACATTTTCGGGTTTATGAGAGTAACAGGGTATAGGAGTCTCATATATGCCTTTCACTCTGAAACCTCTCATTTTGGGGGGGGGGTAGTTAAATCCCCTATGCTGGTTCTTCATTATTTACATAATAAAGATCCATTTAAATGCACACGCACTACGCCCTCCTGAAGCCAGCAGGAGGTGAACATGAAGATCTGAGACCAAACTTCTCCGTATGTGTGCAAAGCGTGTTTCCATTGTGCAATCACTTTACAAATAAGAAATAAATACTGGGTTTATAAGACTTGGAAGAAAAGGTTTATGGCTTTGACTGTTTTCCATTACTGGAAAATTTACATGCTGAAAAGTAGCAAAAACCAGTGCAAAAGAACAAACAGTGGGTGCACTTCAAGAGCTTGTTTCTTTCAAGGATCACGAGTAAAACTGGGTTTTATTAGCTGTTTCATTAAGTTTTACTTTGAAGAAAAACAAACAGTGAAGGCATATGTGCAACATCTGATGAAAAAGTATTTTATTCTAAACAGTCTCTGTACAAAACTCATTAATGTAACATTAAATGTGAAGACTTGTCTAGCAATTTTAGGATGATTTTACTTATTTTAGTTTATTTATAATTTCTGACACAGTTTATTTAACATACGCTAATCTTTAAATCACCATGTGTACTAAACTAATAGATTAAATCTGTCTTTTCAATGACATTTTGCAATAAATATCTACAGCAGCTGTTAAAAGCAATTAGTATATGAAGTTTGTATCACATTTAACACCTCAAGTAAGACAGTATAGCTGGATATTGATAACTTGGAAATCATGAAAGCAGATCAGTTCTTCTTAATCAAACTCCTAATTATAAATACTTTACTTATACGACAAGATGCTATAAAGCATACTTTTTAAGAAACATTTAAATTTATGTGCTATTATAATCTAATATCTGGAATCTAAGCATCTAATGTATCAAAGTGTTAAGTAAAAGTAAATACTTTTTTCCTCAGAGCAAATTTAAACACGCTGGATATTCATCATATTCCCCTGGAATAATTTATTCAATCACTATTTTTCCATTTCAAGCCTAAATGTTGATAAGAAGCAACTAAAGTTTGTTAGTAGAAAAAAAAACACATATATCCTAGTTCCACTGTGGGGGTTACATAATAGTGTGAATCTCTGGTATGGAGGAGAATAAACTTCAGCTTCAAACTAAGTGAGTAAATTACATATTAAACTACAGGTTAGGGGTTAAGATGGTAGTCTTTGGAAGCAGACGCACCTTGGTTCCAATCTTGACCCTGCCTCTTACATAAAGACTATGTAACACTGGCTGGACAAGTCTCTTAACTTCTCTAAGCCTACACATCTCATCTGAAGTAGAAAGAATAATAGCTAATTCATAGGGATATTGTGAGGATTAAATGAAATTAGGCATATGTAAATAATAGCACAGTGATGATGTTTGAAAATGGACTTTCCTTTTTAAAAAAAATTATGACTCATTTTAATGAAAATAATATAACACATAGTTTTAAAAGTCAAATGGCACTAAAATGCATATATATATATATATATATATATATATATAACAAAATCAGCAGCCCTTTCTTACCCTTCCCCACATTCTGGTCAGTCTACCTAAAGGCAACCATTTGCAACTTTCCTTGCTGTATCTTCTGGCATTCATCTCCAAATTCCATCTATTTTATGTATATAGCTTTCTCCTGATAGATGAAATTCAGGGTGACCCTCAAACTAAAAAACCACAATCATTAAAAAATGATTTCTGTTAAACTTATACATCAGAAAGAACATAGAGAAGAAACATACTTTATCTTAGGAGAGTAGTCCAAATCAATTGTAACCTGTGATTAAAGGGTCTCTACTCCTCAGAGTACAAATATGAAATTTTTCCCCCAATAGCTGCTCTTAACTCCCTTGTGTAGAATCTCCTTTCCCACTTGTTAAGTGTGGCAGATTGACTGCATTAATGACCCCAATTTTTCACGCCTCACTATATCCTTGCCCTTTGGCAGTGCCTTCCCACAATGACTCTGAGTTTGGCCTCCAAGAAAAGTTTAAATAGAAGTTTTAAAGAGTGCTTGAGTGCTTCTACTTTCTGTTTTTGGACCCCAACCACCACCATAAGAACAAGCTCAGGCTAACCTCCTGGAACATAGCACCAAGTCAAATCATCCCAAATGTGGCCGTCTTAGACAAGCCAGCTCCCAGCTAACCCTGAGCTGACTGTAGACACATACACAAGCCCTGCAGATATCAGCTAAGCCTGTCACAGATCAGAAGAATGGTCTAGCTAATTTATAAGCTTCTCAGAAATAACAAATGGTTGTTTTAAACCACTAAGTTTTTGGGCGCCTGGTGGCTCAGTCGTTAAGCATCTGCCTTCAGCTCAGGCCATGGTCCCAGGGTCCTAGGATCTAGTCCCACATCGGGCTCCCTGCTTCTCCCTCTCCCACTCCCCACTGCTTGTGTTCCCTCTCTCGCTGTGTCTCTCTCTGTCAAATAAATTAAATAAAATCTTAAAAAAAAAAAAACCCACTAAGTTTTATAATGGTTTATTATGCAGTAATACCTAACTGATATATTAAGGATCCTTAAACAACAACTCAGTACCATACTATAACTTTTTAGGCACTTTCAGTTATTAGAATTCTATCCTTCAGACAATTAGAACTCAATCTTATCATTATTATTGTTATTTTGAAGCCTTCAGACTCAAAATCAATTTGAAGCTCTTTTCTCCCTGTGGTTCAACCCATACTCTCTGCAGCTTGGAATGGAGAAATGAAGCATGGTCTTGCTCAGAGGAACCTGCTGTCCCTCAATACTTCTTCCAAGAGCCCATGGCTTGAGAACTGGAAGCAGGAAGGACAGTTATCCCCTTGCTTAACTGGGTAGAGTCATGGTACCCTCTCTGCCATTTTGCTGTTTCTTCTCTGGCTGATACTGACTGGCTGTCAGTGTTCCTGCATGTGGCAAGCACACAGCTGCCAGCTCCCTCATGGGGTGACTGTATGGGCTCTTCAGAAGATCGTGCAGGGAAACCGCTCTCTGGACATTGTTCCAGATTGCAACTAAGGCCTAAAGCTGAAGACAAAATACCCTGAGTAACTAATTTTCTATATTTGGATTGCTATGAAAATCTACTAGCCACTGAGACCAGAAACCTGCCTATAAAGATTGCTCTGAGGAACCATTCCTGAAGAACTGGGATCCCCAACCCCATCCCAATATGATAGAGTGACCATGTACCCTCTACCTCTGCAGAGGTCCCTTTACCTCCTGGCTTAAGCAGGACGACAGAAAAATAGGCCAAGCCTAGCTACTCTCTGGAGTGCATACATTAACAGATTAAACAGTGCCCTCTCTCCCCGTACTATCACTCTCAATTCCATTTGCCCCTGTTTTAGCAGAAAAGGGCAGACCAGCCAGTCTAATGCTAAGCAAATGTTCAACTAGGCAATGAAGGGACCCTCCTTCTGACTTGAGGGCATCCCATACTCTTTATAAATGGTTCCTTGGACAAGGAAGGAAGGCTTTTGGAGCAGAAGGAAGGAAGGAATCATTCCTCATCACAGACTCTTACACTTCTCCTCTGCTGAATCCTATTCTCATATTGGGATGGGGTTGGGGATCCCAGTTCTTCAGGAATGGTTCCTCAGAGCAATCTCTATAGGCAGGTTTCTGGTCCCAGTGGCTAGCAGATTATTCATAGCAATCCAGATATAGAAAATTAGTTACTCAGGGTATTTTGTCTTCAGCTTAAGGCCTTAGCGGCAATTCTGGCACAAGATAAAAAGGTCCCACTCAACACACTGTTACATGGTTATTTTTAAATCTAAAGTATGCATTAAATTGTACTATACTGCATATCATTATAGAAAAATTCCATTTTTACAGAAATGCCAGTTTTATTAAAAAGACTGCCCCGAAGAGGTTATTTGAATGATACTTATTAACTTTTTATGTAAATTTCATGGTGTTTTCATGGATCCTAATTCACCAATTAAGGGATAAAAGAACATAGGCATTTTTAAAAATTTCTCATAATTTTTCAAATAAAACTTTTCACCTAATAAAGTTCTTTGGACAAATTGTGAATTTTTATTTCTTACAGAAAATCATTCATTTAATCACTATTTGTGTGTGTACATACTTTCATACTTGGTGATATTCTAGGTGCACTGGGCATATCAGCAAACAAAACAAAGATCTCTGGCCTCACAGACTAAGCTGGGAAAGAGACATTAAACAGTAAACATAATAAAAAAGTAAATTACAGAGCACGTTGGAAGGTGAAGAGTTGTACGAGAAAAAGAAAACATGGAGTAGGATAAGCAAAGTCAGGAGTGAGGATGGCAGGTAGGGAGATCAAGTGGTTCGACATGTTGAAAAGGGTGATAGGAAGGCTGCAGTAAGAAGGTGATGTGTGAGCTCACACATGAACAATGGGGGGGATGATGAGAAGAGACCAGTCAGCCATACCTGGAAGAGGGATGGTGTATACCGAGGGGCCAGCCCATTTAGAGGCTCCAGGCAGGAATGTTTGTCTAGTGTTTCTCCGGTGTGTTTGAGGAACAGCAAGGAAGTCAGTGTGCCTGGATGGTTGTGAATGAAAAGAAGGGAATAGGAAGTGAAGTCAGAAGAGTAATAAGAAGGATGAGGAAGGAGCAGGTCATGTAGTCTATAGTCTATTATAAATGTTTTGGCTTGGGGCGCCTGGGTGGCTCAGTCAGCTGAACGTTTGACTCTTGATTTCTACTCAGGTCATGATCTCAGGGTCCTGGGATCAAACCCTGCTTTGGGGCTCTGCACTTAGCAGGGAGTCTGCTAGAGGATTCTCTCTCTCCCTCTCCCACTGCCCTTCCCCCTGCTCATGCTTGCATGCACTCTCTCTCTCTCTAAAATAAATAAATCTTTAAAAAAATAATAAATGTTCTGGCTTTTATGTAGAGTTGAGAAGTGATGTGCTATGACTCACATTTTAAAAGGGTTATAACATCAGAAGGCAAGGGTGGAAGCAGGCAGATAGGAAGGTAATCCTAGTGAAAGTTGATGGTTGTTTACACCAGGGTGGGAGCAAGAGGAGATGATGAGAAATGGTCTAATCCTAGATATTATAAAGGTGGAGGCAACAGGACGACCTAATGGACTGAAAGTGGGGTCTGAGAGGAATAGAGAAGGTAAGGATAACTCCAGTAGGTTGAATAATTGGAAAGATGGAGTAGTTATCAATTGAGAGAAGATTAGTTTGGGTAGTAGTGGGTGAAGTAAGTTTGGGAGGGGGAAGATTCAGAGTTTAATTTTGGACATGTTGAATTCAGGATCTAAGAGGAGATATTAAAATAGAAATGTGAAGTAAGAAGTTGGACTGATGAATCTAGAATTCAAGACAGAAGTCTGGACATGGCATATACATGTGGGAGTAATTAGGATTTGATGCAATTTAATGATGACCTCCAGGTTCATGAGAATAGCTAAGAGAGTAAGACAGTCCCTGGTGTGATTTCCTCCTGCATGGCTGTTCTATGGAACAATAGTCATTGATCTCCGTCTGCCTTCTCTCCCACCTAAGTGCATGCCACCATGCCATGGAAGATTTGATGGACGTGGACATGAGCCCCCTGAAGCCCCAGAACTATCTTTCAGTTGAGAACTAAAGGCTGACAAAGATTATCACTTTAAGGTGGATAATGATGAAAATGAGCACCAGTTATCTTTAAGAAGGGTCAATGTAGGGGCTGGTGCAAAGGATGAATTGCACACTGTTGAAGCAGACACAATGAATTATGAAAGCAGTCTAATTAAAGTCACACTGGCAACTTTGAAAATGTCTGTACAGCCAACAGTTTCCCTGCTTGAGATTCTCTCTCTCCCTCTCCCTCTCCTCCTCTCCCTCCATCCCACCTCACCTCTCTCCCTCTCTTAAAAAAAATTTAATTAAAAAAAATAAAGTGAAAACTTGTTTTCCTAAAAAGTAAGACAAGGTTATAGATATGTAATTTCACTCTAAATTTATAAATTTAAAAGAATAATCATTAAAATCCCAATAGGTAAATAGACATATGAGGAAATTCACCAAAACAACCACAACTGTACTAGGGTAGTATGATTTTTTATTATTTTTCCCCTATATTTTTACAAATATCCATGATAATAATATTGTCTGTAGTTGAAGGCCTTTTCCAAGGCTTTAGAAATAAATAAATAAATAAATAAATAAATAAATAAATAAATAAATATTTTTCAAGCTCAAATTTCAAGTTAAAAATAACCCATAATAGGTCAGAACACATAGGTGAATTATTTAATGAGAAAGAATGGCTCCCCAGCCAGCAAGATTTGACTGTAATCTGACAGCAACCAAAAGAGAGACTGGCCAGTCATTAAAACTTAAAAAAAAAAAAAAAAGAGAGAGAGAGATCAGTGAAGGAAACATTGGCAATGTCCACTGCACAGTTCAAGCGAGAGATTCTTACCCTACAAACCTAAAATTGCAACTTCTCCTCAATGGTAAGACTACCCCTATTGCACAGCAAGATGTATGCCACTCTCAGATTATGCCATTAAATATCTCAGTTTTACAACTACACATGAGAATTTGTATTTATTCTGTGCTCATACAATTGTGAATAGCCCATCTACAAAGCAAAAATGAATCATCATGACAGGAGCATTCTAGTTCACTTGACAATTTTATTTATTATAAATTAATAAATTAGACTCTATATACTCTCTCTCTCTCTGTCTCCCTCTCTGTCCTCCCCCCCCATATATATATATATATATCCCCATATATATATATATAAGCTTTAAAACCTGAGGGTAAGATAATCTTGGGCTTCATAAACTCAACACTGTAAAGGTAACTCTCCACAAGGCTTTTTGTTTATTTGTTTGTTTTTAAAGGTTTTATTTATTCATTTGAGAGAGAATGAGAGAGAGAGAGAGCACGAGAGGGAGAAGCAGACTCCCTGCTGAGCAGGAAGCCCATAGTGGGACTCCAGGATCATGACCTGAGCCAAAGGCAGTTGCTTAACCAACTGAGTCACCCAGGCGCCCTTTTTTTTTTTTTAAGATTTTATTTATTCATATGAGAGAGAGCACAAGAGGGGGACAGTCAGAGGGAAATCCACAAGGCTTTTTGAAATACAGCCTGCCACCCTGCCCAGTAAACTCAAACATCACTGTTAGCCAAGAATGTGCTTTTAATTGTTAAGCATGCAAAATTACTATCACTATTTAAATTTTATTTATAAATTTGTAAAGTATTATAGCTTTTCTTTCTCTGATACTCTTGATAATCTTTAAAAGTGATGTTCAAAAATATTTAATTCACAAGTGATACACTTGAACTTGTTCTTCTTGAAATGACTGCTTAAGATTTGTATATGCTTAAGTGACAAATCAAATCATAACACACAATAAATTATGAATGAAAAATCTAGTGTAACTGACTATGATTCAATGTTTATTATAAAACACAGCAAGCTGCTCCAAGTGCATTTTTCTCCTAATCTCCAAAGATAAACTAAAAAAAATCTACTTTAGTCTAATCAAGATACTATATATTTAATCTTTATCTAGTGACATTTGGGCCCAGAAATAATATTTCATTAACTCACAGTGGATGGCTTAAACAAATACAGCATTACACCAAAATTAATAGAAGTAACATGCTCACAACTTCCCTAAAAATGATTATTAATACAGTGACATATAATTTTTTTAAATAAGCTAGAGGAAAAAGAAGAAAAGTTAACCAAAAATTAAGTATTTCAAACCAACAAATGTATGTTACTCACATAAAGAAACATGATATCTAAGAAACCTGTGAAAAATGTCTATTTCTTTTAGTAAACCTTAAAATTGTCATTTAACTTCAGCAAAGAATCTATCTAAGCATATTATATACACAGAGATCAAAAAAATGGGTGTTTTAACATTTCACTTTTGAAATAAAAATCACTAATTCCAACAATTCAATGTATAAATATCACAAAGGTGAATGGGTAAGCAAAGTAACTGTATTTAAAATACTAATTCCATTATTTACTCTCTAATTTGATTATGTTTCTGTTAAGAAATATCTAGTTGGGTTTATTTATTATCAGCAAATTTGAGACATGGTGAAGAACTAGTCTTCTCAGATATATATGGAAAGCATTTTTAATCCTCTTTAATAATAGAAATAAAAGAAGTGAAATCTCTTAACAGAATGAGGCTATGCAACTCAAGATGTCATCATCTAACAGAAATTCAATCCCAATTCTCTGTTTAGCTCTCTACTTCATAAAACCCAAATCAAAATTTGTAGAAATAATAGATAAACTTGGAAGACATTATGTTAAGTGAAAGAAACCAGTCACTAAAAGATAAATGCTGTATGATTCCACTTCTATGAGATACCTAGAATAATCAAATTCAGAGAGACAGTAAGTAGAATGGTGATTACCAGAGGCTGAGAGGATGGGGCAATGGAAATACCCATTAGTATTTAATGGGTACAAAGTTTCAATTTTGCAATATGAAAAGAGTTCTGGAACTTGGTTGCATTAACAATATGAATGTACTTAAGTCTATTGAACAGCACACTTAAAAATGGTTAAGATGGTAAATTATATATTATGTGTATTTTACCACAGTTTTAAAGATTTTATTTACTTATTTATTTGAGAGAGAGAGAGTGAGTGCACGAGTGGGGGAAGGGGCAGAGGGAGAAGAAGCACACACCCTGCTGAGCGGGGAGCCCCATGAAGGGCTCGATCCCAGGACCCCCAAGATCATGACCTGAGCCAAAGTAAGATGCTTAACCAACTGAGCCACCCAGGCACCCAGCCATAATTTTAAAAATAAATTTAAAAATTGTAGAAATAAAAAAAAAATCATAGAAATAATGTCTTTGAGACTTTTCCTGAGTTCATTCATTAATTTTAATATGTAATGAGAAATAGAGTGCACTTGAAGTACCAATAATTTTAAGACAGGGGAAAAAAGAAAGCCAAGCTAATTATATTGAGATATGTTATATCACTTTATATATGCTAGAGATGTTTTAAAACAGTATGTACCTGGCTGTGAATTGATAATTGTGGGAGTCAGATGACAGGCACATGTGAATTCATTATACTATTGTCTTTACTTTTGTACATTTGAAATTTTTTTATAAGACATTTAAAATAAAAACAGCTGTAAGCAAAGTGTGAAATTCAGGAGGGCAGAAGTATTGATGGGAATGGCAAGGTACGTTTTCTACCAAAATAGTGTTAAAAGATGGAATAAAGTAAAATATTGAAATATTTTACAATCTATTTTTAAAAATATAAAGTTGATGTAATTAGAATAATGGTAAAGGGTTTTTAGGAAAAGCAATGTGAACTTAACCAGAAAGACTACTGAAAGGAAAGAATTAAAAAATCAACTTAAATTTCTAAGAATGAAATGAAATTGTAAAATTTTACTCTATCTAAATTAGGAAATAAAAGCCCTTTCAATCAGCTGTTCCTAAGCTGTAAAGAAAGTAATCAAAATATTTCTGGTGTGTTGCTACGTAAATTTCAAAATATAATCAAGTAGGTTTAACTAAAGATGGAATTAA